CGGAGCACTGGAGCAAGTTATATCTGAACTGCAAGCAGACCCCTCTTATTTAGCTCCCAGAGACATTTGAACTCTTCCACCTGAAACGGGTGCTGACTGGGACAACTGATTTGGTCCCCTCAAACCTGGTAGACCACCCAAGGACTATTCAAAGGGGCACCCCAGGTGTATGGTTGAGGGAAAGTTTGAACTATATAAAACTATATATATTCCCCACTTGCAACTTTGAACTCTGAGGAGTCCCCACCCACTCACTCCAAGATTTGGAGAGAAATCTAACCGGACAGAAGCCTAATTTAAACCCTCAAGGCCCCCCTGCCAAACTCAGATTTCTGGCTGATTTTGCCAGGTAAACCCCGGGAGCAGTGGCCTATTGGAGTGAATAGGGTCTCGGACCTGGGGAACCACAAGTGACTGGGTGTAAGGTAGGGAAGGAGGTATTAACCTTCCCAGACTAACCCAGTTGCCGAGTGGGTCCTTTTGCCCTCACGGAGCCGGGAGGGCCCCAAAAGTGCTTGCTAGAGTTGCACACCTCACGGGCAGCAGGCTCCTGCGCTGGGCAGGCCCAGTACTGCTCGCTAGGGCTGCAGGCATGCTGCAGGCGTCCTACAGGAAGAGGCGGAGAAATCCTCCAATCCAGGTAGACCCAAAACAGCTTGCGAGAGACACACACACCCCACGGCGGCCAGGGGAGGTGTTCCCTGCTCCAGGCTCCCAAGCTGGGCAGGCCTAGAACTGCTTGCTAGAGCCACACTCGCCCTGCAGGTGGTGGTAGAGGGGTCTACCATTTTTGGAGGGCCCAGAACTATTTGATAGAGCCACATACGTCCCTTGGACAGAGGTGGAGGAGTCCCTCGCTCCGGGCTCCCGCACTGGGAGGGCACAGATCGGCTTGCTAGCGCCGCACGCATCCAACGGGCGACAGTGAAGTAGTCCCCTGCTTCCCCCCAGCTACTCCAGTGGGGCTGAACTAGGACTGATCTGGTCACTCGTGTCCCCTGCACTACCACTGCCATTCCCCTACCCTCTGGTTGCTCCAGGGTGCTGAACTAGGACTGATCTAGCCACTACAGTTCCCCTGTTCCACCCAGAGGGGCTGAACCAGGACTGATCTGGCTGCTGCCAGTCTCCGGCCCCGCGGTTGCCCGGCAGGCTGAACAAAGTCTAAGCCGGTCATGCACACTTCTGTGCAGCTGCTGCTGTTCCACTGCACCCCAGCTGTCCCAGCACCCAAGAACTGGGAGAAGACAACAGACAGGCTCTGC